CCTGAGGAATTGTTGTTCATAGTTCAGCTTCTTGAATGATTTGCTCAGTGTACAGATTAAATAGATATGGAGAACAAACAGAATTCTTAAACAGTATAGTATCTGATACAACTTTAACTTAGTATGTTGTTGTTAAGTATCATCGAATTGAGTATAACTCATGATGTTGTTTGTTATGTGCCATCGAGTTGCTTGCGACTCACAGTGACCCTATGTACAACAGCCCTAAACTTTGTTCTGTCCTGTGCCAATCTCATTGTCTCCGACACACTCATCCCGATTACCCCAGTCACAAAATCAATTAATCTTCTAGAGGGTCTTCCCCTCCTGCGCCTGCCCTCTACTCTCCCAAGCATGATGTCCTTCTCCAAGGACTGGTCTCTCCTTACAACATGACCAAAGTATGTCAGATGAAGCCTCAGAATCCTTGCCTCCAAGGAGCAGCCTGGTTTAATGCTCTCCAGGTTGAATCTGTTTGTTTTCATAGCAGTCCATGGTACCCTCAAAACTCTTCTCCAACACCAAAGCTCTGATAAAAAGTTTGTATGTAAAGTTCTAGGCTAATAGGTTTTTCATTCTTTATTGTTTTTGGTTGTAGACATTGGAGTACTACCAGTTACTATTTAGTCTTCACATATTTTATATTTAACACCTCATACATATTATTTACTCTTTACAAAATTTTTGTAAGGTAATTAGCCTCATCTTTGTAGGAAGACACCAAGCAATTTCTTCAAAGTTACAAAGTCATTTAAAGCAAATCTTTGCATTTCCAACTCAAATATATTTGTTATTTTGGATAGTAGGGATAATTAGATTATATGAGTATCCTAAAATAATTTGAGATTTGTTGTTATGTGCCATTGAGTCGCCTGCAACTCATAGCGACCATATGTGTAACAGCCCTAAATTCTGCCCTATCCTGTGTCAATCTCACCATCTATGACAAACCTACCCCCATTATTACCCCTGTTACTGAATCAATTCATCTCATTGAGGGTCTTCCTTTCCTGCGCTGCCCCTCCACCCTCCCAAGCATGACGTCCCTCACCAAGAACTGGTCCCTCCTTGCAAAATGTCCTAAGTATGTCAGACAAAGCTTCAGAATCCTTGCCTCCAAGGAGCAGACCGGCTTTACCCTCTCCAGGACAAACCTGTTTCTTTTCCTAGCAGTCCATGTTATATTCAATACTCTTCTTCAACAGCACAGTTCAAAGGCATACATTCTCCTTCTATCATCCCTAGTCATCGTCCAGCTCTCCATTGCACAGCAAGTGACTGCAAAGACCATGGCATATATTAGGCACACCTTAGTCTCCAGACTGACATCCTTGCACTTCAGCACTTTAGAGAGGTCTCTAACCACACTTTCCCATCACAATACGTCTTCTAATTTCCTGGCTGCTGGTGCCAAGAGTGTTGGCTGTGGATCCAAGCAAACCAAAATTGTGAATAATCTCAATCTCTTCACCATGTATCATGATGCTGCCAATTGGCCCAGTGGTAAGAATCTTTGCTTTCTTGATATTGAGTCTCAATCCATACTGAAGACTGCAGTCCCTGACCTTCCACAGCAAGTGCTTCAGGTCCTCTTCAGTTTCATCAAGCAAGGTTGTGTCATCTGCATAATACAGCTTGTTGATGATTCTTCCTCCAATCCTGATGCCACAATTCTCCTCATAGAGCCCAGCCTCCCTGATAACCTGTTCTGCATACAGATTGAAAAGATATGGAGACAGGATACAGGCCTGGCATACACCCTTCCCAATTTTGAACCATGCAGTGTTTCCTTGCTCTGTTCTGACAACTGCCTCCTGGTCCAAGTATAGGACTCACATTAGCACAATCAAGTGTTCTGGGATTCCCACTCTTTTCAGAGTCAGCCACAGTTTGTTATGGTCCACACAGTCAAACGCCTTTGCGTGATCAATGAAACAAAGATAGACATTCTTCTAGTATTCCTTGCTTTCAGCCAAGATCCATCTAACATTAACTACAATATCCCTGGTACCTCGGTCCCATCTAAATCCAGCCTGCCCTTCTGGTAGTTCTCTGTTTATGTGGATTTTTTTTTAATAATCTTCAGCAAAATCTTGCTTGCATGTGAGATTAATGATATTGTCCAATAATTTCCACACTCTGTGGGGATCACCTTTCTTCGGAATGGGAACAAATATAGATCTCTTCCAGTCAGTTGGCCAAGTGGTTGTTCTCCAGATTTCTTGGCACAACTTGGTGAACACATCTAGGGCACCATCTGCTAATTAAAATATGTTGGTATAACATCAATTCCTGGGGTCTTATTCTTAGCCAATTCTTTCAAAGCAGTCTGAACTTATTCATTCATCACCATAGGTTCTTGCTTATATGTTGTTTCATTAAATTCTTCTGTGTCTGCCAATTCTTTTTGATATAATGACTCTGTATACTCTTTCCATCTTCTTTTAATACTTGCAGGATCACTCAATATTCTTCCCAAAGCATCTTTAAGTATTGCAACTCGAGGCTTGAATTTCCTCTTCAGTTCCTTGAGCTTAAGAAATGATGAGATTCTTTCACTGTTTTACAAACCCTCCCTCAGGCCCCCTCCACCATGTAGCCCTCGCTCTAGACTCCTGTGATGACAGAAGTACCTAGTCATATATCTCTTTTAAACAGTTTTCTCCCTCCTCTGTTTCAGTGCAGTATACATTATTGAACCCAACTTGTTAGTCAAATTTGTGTCTTCTAGGTTGCAACACCCCCATGATACATCTTCAAGGATATGAACATGTACGGCCAAGCACAATCAATAAGAGTGCATCTAAATTCCAAAATCAATCTCCATAATAGTCTATGTGTTTCCTACTGCCAAAGGGGCCCTTTAGAGTAGTGAGAGAAGATCTTTACCCTGAAACCCACAGCGTCCCTTTTCAGCAGGAAGTAGCTAAGAGAATACGCCATCCCCTTTCCCTTATGAATCAGGGTGAAGTCTCTCTCAGGGAGGAGTGATAGGGAATGGCAAAGGACACACCGACAAAGGAGATTAATCAGAACTGACTTTGACAAGCACTGTGGCAATTGGACAATTAAAACAGACATTCGGATGGCGGGGAAGAAGAACAAACTGGGGAGGAGGGTGGAGAGAATGGTGCGGCAATGAAGGGATGAAAGCCCAGAATCCCTGTGAATGTTCATTGAAACTAATAAAATTTAATAATAAAAAAAAAAGAAATGATGAGATTGGAACAGTGAGATTGTGGTTGAAAACATATAATCTTACAATTTAAAAATGAACAGAAAATAATTTTGAAGGAATTTTCCAAGTGTTTATTTTTAATCTGAGGTAAAAGACAACAAGAAATGAAAACTATAGCATCAAAGTTGTAGAAAGGGCCTCTGCAAACTGAGATCAGATTTTTCAGATTTATTATACATTAGATACTGATTCCAGTAGCCTCCTGGCTTTTTGTTTGTTTGTTTTTTTAGGTCTCACTTATCATTTGGAGTTTTAAGATCCCTTTCTATTAAGAAAATAATCTGAATATTAATTCTTTATAAGATCCTAGATGTCCAAGCATAAAATGGAAGCTTGTCAACTCTATCATTTTCAAGGTCAAACAAGGAGGCACTTCTGGTAACAGGAAAGGAAATAGAACCACTAATAAGTGAAGTATTCTCATTCATGAGAGAAATTCCCAAGGATTCCTATGTTGCTCATTGGACTTCACTAATTCTTAGGTGTACATTTTGGTCACTATTTAAAGTGCATTTTGGTCTCTATCTCTGCATTATTATGGTAACTGATCTGTAATTACAGATACTTTCCCAACAGGTTGTAGTTAAAGGCCTTGTTCTGGAGTCAAAATGCTTGGACTCAAATGCAGTTCTGTCGTTTGCTGGCGGGCTTTAAATAAATTAACCTTTCATTTCTAAAATAGAAACCCACCTCGAAATTTCACCTCGAAATGCACTCAGCACAGTATAGGACACAATGTGTGGAATAAACGTTAGTCTAACAAAGCTAAAATTTTTTAACATATTTTTCAACAGAACTAGTTGTCAATTACAACTTGGAGGGCTCCTTTTTGAAATAAACTAATTTTCAGTTTTCACAAGTTCAAGTTTTCCAATCTTACAGTGTAATTTTAATTGTGACAATAACAGTCTGTGCCCTCATTAACCCATAGTTTTATTTTGAAAGCATTATCCGTGATCTTTGCTGGCTTTACAAATCCTCTCATAAAAAACTGACAGATCAGGGAACGCCCAAATTGCTTTGGTAACGAGGGATTTAAAATCAGTGTTCCTAGCTTCTCTGTTCTATTCATTGGTCAGTTTCAAGATACACGTTTTTCAATTTGAAAGGAAGGGAAGTTTTGTACACCTATTTTCAACTTAAGGGAAACACTTGAAACCTTTTGAACTTCTGGCGCAAGCGTCCATTACGTAACTGGGCAGCTGCCCGGTCTCTGGACTTTTTCCGAGCCCGCTCCTCCCGGCGGGAGGTTAAGGTTACAGCACCGAAAGCCGGCAGGGCCTCTTCGAGTTTCGCGTGTAGCTGCTGAGACGTTTATATTTGAATTTCCCTGAACAGCTCGATGTGGGCGGCGGCGCGGACCCGCCCCGGAAACCTCCAGGCCCTTCCCGCCACATTAGAAACCAGCCCTACTGGGGGACCCCGCGGGGCGGCGGGAGGATCGGGCAGGCTCTGGGTGGGGAGCAGTGCGCACGAGCAGCCACCAGCGTCCCTCCCCGCTGCCCTGAGTCTGGCCCGGACCACGCCCAGCCGAGCGCGCCGAGCCGACGGTTGCCCGAGGGCCAGTTTTTGAATTTAGAGGCCCCGCCCCTGAGCTGCAAAAGAGCACTACTGGTTCCCTATTGGCCTGGAGTGGTCACGTGGGAGGCCCAGCGCGCGCCGGCCATGTTGGGGAGTGCGGCGCCGCGGCCCACGCCACCTCCGCCCCCAGCGGCGCGCCTCCAGCCCGCCCCTCGCGGCCTTCCTCCCCCCTCGCCAGCCACAGCTTGAGAGGAAACAAAGTGCTGCGGGCGGGAGAATTGGCGGCGGCGGCGCGAGGACCCTGTGCGGCCCTTTTGGTCACCCTCGCTTTGCGTCTTCTCGTACGTGTGTGTTTGTATGTATGTGTATGCGTGTTCTCTTACAACGGGCATATTACGGTTGACTGATCCGTATTCCACTCCTTTTGCTCTTTGTGCTGAAACCCCACTTCTGCCACCCCTGGTGCTTCCTTCCTCCCCTGAGCCGGACTCTGCACGCGGGTGCGGACCGACCATTCGCGCCTTCCCAGCTTCACCCCCTGCAACGCTCCTCGTGCCCCCACCTGGTCCCTGTCCTGCCCGCGGCCTCCCAGCCGCGCTTTCGCCGCCAGCCCTCTCCGCCGATCGCCCCGCCGCCCGCCATGGCGACAGCGACCCCCATGCCGCCGCGGAGCGGCAGCCGTGCTAGCGCTCCCGCTACGCCGTTGAGCCCCACGCGGCTGTCGCGGCTGCAGGAGAAGGAGGAGCTGCGCGAGCTCAATGATCGGCTGGCAGTGTACATCGACAAGGTGCGCAGCTTGGAGACGGAGAACAGCGCGCTGCAGCTGCAGGTGACCGAGCGCGAGGAGGTGCGCGGCCGCGAGCTCACTGGCCTGAAGGCGCTTTACGAGACGGAGCTGGCTGACGCGCGCCGCGCGCTCGACGACACGGCCCGCGAGCGCGCCAAGCTGCAGATCGAACTGGGCAAGTTCAAGGCCGAGCACGACCAGCTACTCCTGAAGTGAGTGCTCGCCGGGTGGCCGCGTTTACGCGCACGTGTTGGGTCCGGGTACGCAGCCGGGCGGGGAGGGAGGGCGGGGGCCAGGTGTCCACGCCTTTACCATGGGGCTGGTTCTCTGGTTACGCAGCGGAGCAAAAAAGGATTCATTGTTTTCATATCACGGTCTGCGGGAGGGAGGCGAGCTACGCTGAGGCAGCTTGGGTTGTAGCGGTGCTGAGGCCCGTACACTGACATTACGCGCCAGCTATGGCAGAGAAAAGCACCCGGCTGCGGGCCCCAGGTGCGGGAGGTGTCACCCGCGCGCGCGCTCGAGTGCGCGCCCCGATTTCCGGCCAGTCCTTAAACAAAGCGGCTGGGTGGGTTTGCGGTGCGGAGACTGCCCCTCGGGGAGATCTGGCTGCCCGCTTCAAGAATGAATGAGCTTTCGCGGGCGTAGGGAGGAAGGGGAGGGACCCGCCTGGAGCGTCCTCGTCTCTCGGGGGTGGATCCTGCTTTGCCGCGCTCAAGACTCGGCCCTGTGACATTTTGTGATGGTTCTACGCTTGTCTTGGGCGTGGACAGAGGGGCGGGGTCTGAACTGCGCGCCTATTTCTTGGGTAGGCCAAGTTAGAGACTCAAAATCAGTGCCTTATGCTCGAGAGATGATCTGTCTGCTCTTTCCTTGTGCATGGACCGATTTGGACACTGGGGTGCCCCACTCAGACACCTCCAAACTGGATTTGTGTATGGTTATGACCACTGTTCCCTGAGCCACGGATTGCCCCTGACCCAGATTGCAAGCCTCATCTCTTTTGCTACTTTTTGCCTCTCTTAATACAGTGTATTTTCCTGGTAAAAGAAAGACTATGGTCTGTCCTTGTGATGACATTAAGTTACTAGGCCATCCTCTGCCGTCAAGCTCGTTTTGACTAATAACGATTTTATTCTGGTTGTTGTGTTGTTATGTGCCATCGAATCGACTGTGACTCATAGCGACCCTATGCGCAATCACTCTGAACTCTGCCCTATCCATGACCATCCCCATCGGAGTTACAGGGCTGTAAATTTTTGCAGGCGATTGCCACTCTCTTTTAGGGAGTAGCTGGTGAACACTAGGACTGTGTTCAGGGAGACCTAGTAACTTCACCTCAGGGGGTCTGAGGTTTCAGTTGCAAACTTTCTATTATTTTGATGACATTAATTTGAGCTTTTAATGAGCAAAAAGATACTTGCCATCAGCAGATCATGTTGTGTCATGCTTTAGCAGTTTGCTCTGGGTTTCACAATTCTAGGTTTCTCTCCATCGGGTCTAGCACCTGGAGACCTGGAGACCGCCTTTGGTGTCTCAGATACTTAAATGCTGATTACAAATGAAAGTTAAAGGGCTTTGGAAAGGTAATAGCCTTGAAAAATAACGAGTGGAATTGAGACTGCTATGAGTTAAAATCTAGTTGAAGGCAATTAAAAACAGGAGCTTTCTTGACCGACATTGGCTCTGTTTGACCCTGGGTGTCTTTCTGGGTATTTCTGTGAATGTCCAAACTTCAGAGTCTTATGAGAGGAAGTGTGAAAATCTTATCTCTCTCTTTTTTAAATTTATTTTTATTATTATTAATTTTAATGAAATGTACAGAGACTTTGGATTTCCATTCATTCATTGTTGCACTTTTTTTCACCTC